CCTTTGACTTCCTTTTGGACAGACACACATTCTGCACGAACAGATACTCATACTGCACGAACAGACACATCTCTTGCTTGAACAGACATGACCTGCGCACCCCCCTGAACGAACAGATGTGACTCCCAACTCCAGATATTGCAGTTGTTCGTACAGAGCACAACCGTGACCTTTGACATTGGCTTTTACTTAGCTAGGATGTGACTTTTGACCCAGAGAACATGTCCTTTGATCTGCTTTCACGAGTTGGGCCCTGGCGAGTGACCCCTGTATGCTGCATTTGCCGAACAGGGTCTGAATCGGGTAAAGGCCCTTTTACTCTCGCCGGGCCTAATTTCGAAGTCCTCTGAGAAAACCTTCACCTATCTATAATACTTATTCCTCTTCTCGTTCTTTCATAAGCAGTGACAATATGAGGTCCAGACTCTAGCAAATTTTCCCTTATAAACCAGCGATCTTCACTTGGATCCTGATAAGCGAATCTCACCTTATACTGCCATTGTGGTCTGCCCCTACGTCCAGTCTGAAAGGTACTTTCAGCAACAATCTAATCCACGTCGTATTTCCCATCCATACTAGGAGGTATCGCCGATCTGCGACTGGGAAACAACTCATTTGTTACGCAAGGTGAGAATTTCGAAGCGTGGAATACTGGATATGCATGTAGATGTAGAGGAATCTCTATAACATATGAAGGGCCATCCACATCGCCAATTACATCTAGAACCTGCCAAAGTCCTCTGTAGGCGGGTAATAACTTCTGAGAGATGTTCTCTTCAGGAACAAACTCTTTAGACTTAACCCACACTAGATCACCTACAGCAAACTGTGAAGGTCTTCTATGCTTATTTGCCTGTTCAATTTGATGTTGTGCTTTCATTATATTTACTCTTACCTTTTCAATGTCTTTCTGATACTGAATAGCAAATTCACTAGTTCCTAGTGGAAGCTTATGTACTTGATCCAGGTTAAGCCGATCAATAGGCCTGCGTGGACGCCATCCCAGATGCAACTCCATCGGAGTTTTGCATGTAGATAAATGAACAGAGTTATTGTAAGCGCCAACAACTTTGGGCAAATGTTCGTCCCTGTCAATCTGGTCGGGACGAATATACATGCGCAATGTTTGTTGCAAGATCTTGTTCATCTGCTCAGTCTGGCCATTCGTCTCAGGGTGTCTACCTGACGACATAGTTAACTTAGAGCCATAGACATTCATGAGTTGCTGCCATTGTCCACTCGTGAACCGTGTATCTCTGTCACTCACAATTGTCAAGGGATGTCCATAATCCCTTACCCAATGGTTAAAGAATTCCCGGATTACCAGTTCCGTTTTTGCTTCCGCTGGTAAAGCTACGAAGACAGCATACTTACTAAATCTGTCGACAATTACCATTACCTGCGTCTTCTCATTCCTGCTTTTTACCTTGGTGTCCATAAAGTCAATGGACACAGAGTCCCCCGGACCTGTTGGAATAGGCAAAGGCTTAAGTAAACCAAGGGGAGGCTTTGTGGTGCTTTTATTTCTTTGGCACACTTGACAGCCCTGCACATACGCAATGCAGTCTGGTTTCATACGAGGCTAGGTGTAGGAACGCACAAGGTTTGCGTAGGTCTTCCTCCACCAAAAATGGCCCTCGGTGTCATGACATTCCTCTAGGATCAAACTCTTGATCTCTTCTACATTTGGAATACAAAGCCTGTCATGCACATTAGTCTTAAACAATAGTCCTTGTGTGATACGATAGTTAGGAAACTCTGCTGGCGTTTCTTGTACACGCTTAAGAATAGCGCCATAGACAGGATCAGTGGAATACGCATTTCTAATATTTTCTTGCAAATTGGTGCCCACATCTAAGTATGTTACAATGGCACTAAAGAAATATGATCGTCGACTTAATGCGTCGGCGACAACATTATATTTACCCTTAATTGGCTTTAGCTCAAAGTCATATTGATCAATCTCAGCGGCCCACCTTGTCAATTTAGGTGTCATTCGGGCCTGTGTTTTAAGCCAGCGAAGTGTTTCATGATCCGAATATACTTTGAAGTGGCGTCCCAAGAGATAGTGTCGCCAGTGATCCAAAGCTTCCCGGAGAGCATACAACTCCCTCTCATACGTAGAAGCAGCGACCTTCTCGTTAGGCAGTCGTCGGGACATAAATTCTACAGGTTTGTATCCATTCCCGTCATCTTGCTAGAGTACAACACCTATCCCGTATTGATTGGCGTCAATTGTGACCACGAAGGGCAATGAAGGGTCAACAACTTTCAAAACAGGGTAGTTAATTAGACATTTCTTCAAACATTTAAACGAAGCTGTATAGTCTTAATCCCACTTCCAGATGGTTTCTTTTTTAAGTAAGCTGCGAAGGGGCGCAACAATTATCGTGAAGTGTCTCACGAACTTCCGATAATAGTTGGCTAACCCAAGGAACGACCGCAACTCAGTCAAAGTGCGGGGGTTAGGCCAATCGCGAATTGCCGCAATTTTTGTGTCTTCCGGTTTGATTCCATCATCATCGAGTACATGCCCCAGATACAAAACCTGACGCTTAGCCCATTCACACTTCTTTGGGTTTAGTTTCAATTTTGCCTCACGCAACTTATTTAGCACAAGTCGAAGGTGCTCAGAATGTTCTTTCAAATCTTTACTAAAAACCAAAATATCATCCAAATAAACAATGACAAACTTGTCAAGCCACTCGCGAAAGAGTTCGTTCATAGATCTTTGGAAAGTTGCAGGGGCATTCGTAAGACCAAAGGGCAACACAATGAACTCATAATGCCCATACCTCGTTCGAAAGGCAGTTTTGTATTGGTCTTCTGGCTATACCTCAATCTGATGGTAGCCAGATTTCAAATCAATTTTCGTAAAGTATTTGCAACCCTGCACATGATCTAGCAGATCATCTATCCGCGGTAACAGCTCGGTGTTTTTTACAGTTATTTCATTCAACTTCCTATAGTCTATGCACATGCGTACCCCGCCATCCTTTTTAGGCACAAATAATACAGGCGCACCATAGGGCGAGGAGCTAGGCCTAATCCATCCCTTTTCCAACAATTCATCAAGCTGGGATCGCAGTTCATCCAACTCTTTAGGTGACATTCGGTAGATGGCCCCCTTAGGAATCGAACTTCCTGGGATAATATCTATGCGATGCCTAATGGGTCTCTCAACCACACCGCTTGGGGCCTCTGCCACCTCTGCGAACTCTTTCAGAAGTTGCTCAATTTCTGGGGACTTAGGCTCTTCCTTAACTTCATCCTCTTTTACTGGGCGCACATATGCCACAAAGACTTGGTCATACAAGTTATATTTCTTGACATGGCGAACGAACGCTGGGGCACTCATACAACAATGAGCCAAGCTGCTTTCCTTACCTGATTCATGAAATAGGCGGATTCTCTTCTTTCCACCTTGCGGACTAAGGAGTCAACACTCATGATCCCTCATCTTTATGTCCGCATTTGCAGCTTCCCCCTAATCCATACCTAAAAGAATGTCAAAAGGAAGATTATCTTCCACCAAGAGAGTCGGAGAGTGGAGGACGCGTTCCACCTTCCCCTCTGCTTCGAGCTGGAAGTATACCTTAACCCCTTCAACATATCTATCCATTACAGTTACCGTACTATTAGCTAATTTACTCACCACGGGCTCATCCAATTGCTTTACCTTAAGCCCGAGACGCAACTTTTGCAAACCTTTCTTACTGATATAACTGCGTGTAGAC